TAAATATTATATCTGCATATTTGGATATAGGAAAGAGAACCACTTAACAAAATGTACATTTATTTAGTTTAAATATTATTACATCACAACTAACAACTTTAAAGTCCAGGATTACATAATTAAGCTCTCTCATGTTGGTCCTCGATGCACCTAGAATACAGTAAAAACACACTAAGCCCAAAAGTACTTTAATATCAATTTTATTCTGATGATGAAGACATTTCTAACATGACAGGCGGTGTTGATAAGGGATGACTAAAGCTAAGTTATTTAGAAGATGCAATGTGTGAATAATTCTACATCAAACAGTTGAGTTTAACAAACAGTGTTATGTCTACTTGTTAAACCATACATACATGTGAGATCGTCCTTACGTTGATAGATAGAGAGAGCTCAGAGTGTGCATGTCTGAGGAGGGCAGGAGGAAGAGAATACAGGGATACGCAAGGATGATACATTGTTTCAATTTCACAACTGGTCTGGTCTGCATTCACAAATGTGTGCACTGCAGAAATGGTAAACAGAATTCATGTAATAAGATGGACCTTTACTGATCCCCAGACATGCAGGTGTCATAGCAGCAACAGAATAAGATCTTGAAGAAAACTGTAACAGAAAAGGAGGTTCTGATCCCTCACCGCTTTCACAACCTGTTAACATCACATGACATAAATATCATACTTAGGTCACATGATGACACATTTCCATGACGACTGAGGAATTAGCAATAAGAAGGTGTCGGAACAAGAGATGTGGTTGAAGGATTCTGAAAGTAATTCAGACATTATGATGAGAATTCATTTTGTGAATCTGGTTTGGTTTAGTGTTTTAATAAAGAATACCATCATTCAATTTCCTGAGTGTTCATCATGTAGGGAATAGTTGGGGTTAAGCAAGACATCGACTACGTTGAATTACTTCAAATGAATTTATTGTTAAGGTTAACTGAAATATTTGTTATAATAGACAATTGTATCTTCTTTGTTGCAACCCTTCAAAGGGTAGTGTGCTGGACTTCGAATCAGGGGATAGCAAGTTCACGTCCCACTGCAGTCAGCATGTCGTTGTGTCCCTGAGACACTTCACCCCTAATTGCTCCTGTGGGGATTGTCCACAGAACTGAATGTATGTAAGTCGCTTTGGATAAAAGCGTCTAACAAATGACATGTAATGTAATGTCATGTAATGTAATGGTTGTATTTATTTGGTTCAAAAGTAGTATTTCATTACATGGTTAAAACCATAAATGTTTATACTGTAGGTACCCCTTTCATTTTTTGCTGATTAGGCTTTTCCTGCAAGCCTGAAAAGGACAAAAGTGTTTAAGAATTGAAAGAGAGCTAAAAAAAAAAAAAGAGGACTGTAAGAAAGTGTAAGAAAGTCCCCTCTGTGGATCGATCAATGAAAACTCCTGTTTCAACAGTAAGGTAACACATGTATTGTGTTATTGTTCATAAAAACATAAAAGCTTGAAAAAAAGGACTTCCTAACATTGTGAGGAATCAGGTTAGCCACGTTCAGCCAGTGTGTGTGACCCTGAATGCCTGCAGGCAAGAAGCAAGAGTCCCTTCAATCAATGCCTGAGCTAATTGCAGTTAGAGCTGAATGGAGGGGCCAGGCTGACAGCAATAGGATCAATGTTTATTGTGTGGATGAGCCGGCAATTGTGCCTGAATAAACTCAAATTAGAGTATTTTTGCCCTATTTACATATGAGTGGCACCCAGACAACAGGCATTAATCCTTCCATGCTGAGCCGCAGGTGTAAAACAAAACAGAGTAGGGATGTTTTTTAAGGTTATTAACAGGAAAACTAGTGTTATAAGACGGCAACATGCTGGGCTAAGTATAGCACTAAGTCTATAGGGCTGGAGGTAAATCATTACCTTCCTCCTGCAGCAACATGGATTACCAGTTATTAAAAGTAGAAGCAAAATGATGCAGTTGTTCAGGGCTGGGTTTAAGTGTGGTTTTAAGCTGTGTGATATCCCTAAAACCTAACCTGACTTTTAGAACAAAAGACATGTTGCTTTTTTCCACTATCTCTCTATAGTTTTTACAAAAACAACATTTGTACAATGTTTATGTGCTCTGGAAAACAAATAAATGTACACATATTTGGAATAAATTAAATAGGAAAATAACTTCCAGAATCGAGAAACTGAACAGGCATTTTTATAATTCCAACTTCAAGCTACGTATGTCAGGCTGCATTGTTGGTACATCAAATAATGCATGGGACATATACAAAACTATGGTTTCATGGAATGTCAAAAGTGTTATATAACTTGTGCTCTCAATTGTGATTCTTGTGGTAGTGCACTGGCATGTCGTGCAGCGTGAACACTTGTGCAGTGAGCCGTTTGCTTTACCAAATCATTAAAGACTGCTCAAATGACACAATCAAATCATTGTTGGCTTCTTTTCAGGACCAGTTTATAGTTAAAAAAGCCTTATGCTTTTAAATGTGTAGTGCTGTGTTACCGGAGCAGCCGCAATCGTGGCTGATGGTGTAATTTCTACAGAAGTAAGCTATTTGAGACAGCATCAGAAATAACTTTCAAACAAGCAGGTGGAGATTTCATTTAAGTTTAACGGTATTTATATTTACAATTTAAATGGAAAATGGGGGTTAAAAACTTTAGAAAAAACACGTATTGTTGAGCCTTCCTTTTTGATAATGATGCATTCATCAATAGAGATTTGGAATAAAGGCAGGCTATCGTCGTCCATGAATCCTGTGTGTGTGGGTTTATCCTGATCAGGCCTCCTGTCAGGGCTCACACATTAACACAGAATATTTATTTTTAAATTAAAATGTTAAGAACAGATGGATTTTGATGCTTTGCAACACTTTCCCAGAAGGTCCATTAGAGAGATGGGTCTTCCTGGTGAATGAAGGGCTCTCTAAAAAGACAAAGCATGTGTCCTGCTGGAGCAGGGTAAAGCCTGAGAGATCTTTCACAACCTGGCAACCCAACAGTAGTTCTTCCTGATTGCTGATGACTGATCTTTGAAACACAGGTATGCTTTAATATCCACTAATATGCCATCAGTTGTCCCTTACTGTGAATCATTGATATACCATTCCTTATCAGAGACATATGTTCTGTTCAGCTGTTTTTGAAACCCTCACATATGCCTGATCTGCATTTAGATCTGTCTGGTGATGAAAACATCACATGTAAATGATCTACATACCATGAGATGTCTGAAATACTGGAGGGCAATTTATTTTGGTATGATTACACACTCTGAATAAAAAACCTTGCAGTTCAACTACAGAGGTGGAAGAAGATATATTGTACTTAAGTCAAAGTAGAAGTACCAGAGTGTAGGAATACTATGTTAAAGTAAAAGTCCTGTATTCAAAATGTTACTCAAGTAAAAGTAGAAAAGTATTAGCATAAAAATATACTTAAAGTACCAAAAGTAAAAGTACTCATTATGCAGATTTTCTAATAATATATATTATATATTTTGATTATAATTATTGATATATGAATGTGTTTATCACAGCTGCAGTTCGTTGTTACTTACCAGCAGGTGGATTATATCTCAGATTAGTCCCAATCTGCAAAGTAACTAAAGGTAGAAATAAATGTAGTGGAGTATAAGTATACTATTCACCTCTGAATTATAGTGGGGTAGAAGTACAAAGTAGCAAACAATTCAAATACTCAAGTAAAGTACTAGTATCTCAAAATTCAGTAAATAAATGACTGTACACCACTGTTCAATTAAATAACACACATCAGGACAGATATTATTTTTCTTCATATTGCCAGTTCCCCCCCCCCCCCCCCCCCCCCCCCCCCCAACCAACCCCAAAAGAGACTTGGTGGGGGTCCCTCAGGTAAAATGGCCTGCAAACACATGAATGTAAGGGCCTGGAGGCGCTGCTGGTGTAACTCCCACACAGAGCTGTGGATTCCAGCAAACTTCTTGTATGCCTCTTTAGAGAAAAAGCTCTTTTCATTTGTCCTTTCTGTCCAAGCTAAGTCTTTTCTTTTTCCTCTCTCCCTCTTTAATCCGTCCCTCTATTTCAAGAAGGAAAAAAAACACAAAACCAGGTTCACGCAGTGCTTTAGTGGCTAAAAGTGAAAGAGCTTGTGTTTTTTCTTTCTTTTTTTCCTCCCTGCGCTGATTTCCCTGGTTGAGCCTTGAATCGCTCTGGAAAATTGCTTCTTTTGAATAGAGGGAAGGAGGAACAACGTTTAATAGGATCCAAAGGGAGTCTCTGCTCTTAAACAGGTGGAAATTGGACGTCCTCGAATTTATACAAATAGTAAGTAAGTATATAAGCCGGCGTGGAAAAGGAGGGATCCCATCTCCGAGGATTAGCAGCATTCTCCTGAAAAAATGTCCCCAAGTGAAAAATAAAAAGATGTCTGAGTTGCAAATGAAAGCAGGAGACGATTATAATGCGTGTTTAACCAGCATAGCGCAATCGTGATTTAAAGTTATTTAGGGGAATTGTTTCATATTTCTGTCGCAGGATCATTCTCTGTTTTCAGATGTGTTTCTGAGGGCGGCTCCTGTCCCCGGCTGATGTCAGGAGACAGACCCGCTGGGGGGGCGGCGCTGCGACATGTGACAGAGAGCAGCTCCTCCACACCCATCTGACCATCAGAGGTAACCCCACACACCGGCTGTACTTAACACTGCGCATTCTCCGGACCACAACACTTTGTCTCTCTCGCTCCTCTCCCTCTTCTTCTCCCTAACGAGCTCTGTAATGTCCTGTTAATTTTGTGTGCCCTAGTTAATGAGCATTAATCCATCACCCCTAGATGCTATTGTTGCGGGGGGGATGGCCATTTGAATGCTAATGCGTGACACTGTGACAGCAAGGTGCTTATTAAACTGATGTGTCCTCCTGTCTGCTCTGCTGGGAGCTCAGCGCAGTGAAGACGCGCGGCGGAGAGCAGCGGCTCGGACTCTTCGGGACTTTCTCACCAAGTTTGGCTCTGCTGCTAACAAAACTAAAAGTACTACAACATGGCAAGTTCTGCTTCTCTGGAGACGGTGATGTCCTGCGGAAGGACCGGGCCCTCCGCGGCCCCTAAGAGTCTCGCCTTCTCCATAGACCGGATCATGTCCAAGAGCTCGGAGCCGAAGGGGAGCGCGGAGGAGCGCGCGGAGGGGAAGAAGCTGTTCTGCTCCCCGATCCCCTGCATGATCCCGCTGCAGCCCTTCAGCTACGACCTGCAGGCCAAGGCGCTGATGAACTACTCGGAGCTGTGGAGGGCCAGTTTCAGGGGCACTTTTTGCGGTTCCGCAGCCGTTCAGTGCAAAGGGAATTGCGGCATGTGTGGCAAATCGGAGCTGGGCATGAAGCAGCCGCTGCTGACTGGGAGCAGGGTGGTGAAACCTCAGGTCCTGCACCAGGCAGTGGCCGTGCCCAGCGGCGGATCGCTGTACTATCTCAACTACCTGGACTCTGCGTACCAGCAGTCCGAGCTGCTGGCCGGACACTGGTTCTCCAGCCCGCAGGCCCAGGCCTCTCTGTCGGCGCACCACAGACTGCTGCTGCTGGAGAACGCCAAACTGGCCGCGGCGGGGACCGAAAAGCTGCCCACCCCTCAGTACCCGCACAAGGAGCACCTGCCGGGGCAGCTGGACCAGATAGTGAAGGAGAACCACGGCCTGAGCGCGGAGAAGAACGGGGTGAAGCCCCTTAGCAAACTGGGCAGCGGCGCGAGCAGCGCGGCGGACGGGAAACCCAAAAACTTCACATGTGAAGTGTGTGGAAAGGTACGCAGTTTTAAAAGTGTAAAATAAATATATAGTAGGCCTATATTTTATAATAAAAATGATTTATGACACATGTATTTATTGTTTACTTTTCTTATGTGAAATATATATTTTAAAGTGTATTAATAAATATCTTTATAACAAAAACATAATGATATAATTAGAATATAAATATAAAATATGCTACCAATGTTTTCCATTAAAACAACGGTTCTCATAAAAATAAATAAAACATATTATTTCGAAAGCAACAGATACAAAATCCAGAAGATTTAAATATGATAATTTTACGCAAACACATGTGTGTATTTCTGAATGTTCCTGACTGTTTGTGTGTCTGCAGGTTTTTAACGCTCACTACAACCTGACCCGGCACATGCCGGTGCACACCGGGGCCCGGCCCTTCGTGTGCAAAGTGTGCGGCAAAGGCTTCCGGCAGGCCAGCACGCTGTGCAGACACAAGATCATACACACACAGGTGAGAGGCAGCACACACACATCATGTGTTCTGGCTTTTTAATTAAATGACATATGTATTGTGTATTTGTCCTAACTGATGTTATGTTCAATTTCTGCCTGTTCAGGAAAAGCCTCACAAATGTAACCAGTGCGGGAAGGCGTTCAACAGGAGCTCCACGCTCAACACGCACGTTCGGATCCACGCGGGCTACAAGCCCTTCGTGTGTGAGTTCTGCGGGAAAGGCTTCCATCAGAAAGGTAAGAACACACACTGATGGCAGCTTAACATGCTCTACATTAGGTCAAATATTATTATTATTATTATTATTCCAGGCGAGCTTTTCTTTTTCTTTCTCTTGGTTTATTTTAGTCCTTAGAGTTGGCCCTTAAAAATATTCAGAAACTCAGTCGGTGGTTATTGGGTGTTTGTTGTAAACAACGCCAAACATCGTGTCTGTTGTTTATTCTGGAAACGAATACAAATAATCTACGGGTTTGAGATGATGTATGATACATCAAATTAACATGTTGGCACATTTTGAGTATATTTCTGCTATAACACATTCCTGCAGTGTGAACAGGTGAATTCATTTTAATGGAGACGCATTAGACAGAGCAGGACTTCCTGCACTGTCCCTCCTTTTTTTGTCTCCAAGTGTTCAAATAATTCCTATAAATGTGTTGTTTGGTGTCATTTTTATGATGTAGGCTATCGGTTATATTTATTTATTGTTCTTGCACAGCCGTAGTTATAATTTAAAAAAATGTTGTATTGTGCATTCATTTCACTGCATTTAATTATGCGTGAGGGAACAGGATTGGTTGGCAGGTGTTTCCTGTGAAGGAATCCTCAATTGGGATTTGTTGCTGCAGAAACAAACATTATCCGGAGTGAAGCAGCAGCATATGCTGGCGCTCGGCTCTCTGTGAGGGTAATGAGAGGGGAAATAATTGCAGGCCAAGCGATGAGCTTGATGCGATCAGTGGAAATAGGACATGTCACTTTACACGGACTAATTCTCTGTTCAAGAAGCAGCATTTGCTCTGGGTCAGCTGCCAGACCCCGCGCAGTGGAGCCGGGCTGTTTTCTGCAGTTGTCGCTGCGCTTGATTTTGACAAAGTTTGACAACTTCTTGACTTCGACATACAAACCCGTGATTAATGAAGGCTGTGCAGAGCAGAGGGGAGAGAGGCTCTAACTCCAGCATGCTCTGCTGACCTTGGCGGGGAAAATAAAAGAGAGAAGAGGCCTCCTCATCCTCACTTTTTTATTGGATTCAAAGTATGCTAAACAGCAGTCTCACTTTCCCCTGCTGCTTGTGATCTCTCTGTCCTAGATATTTCAAACATCTGTCAATGGTGGAGATCCCTCCCTTTACATTTTGAGCAGCTTTATTTCTTTTTCAGAATCAAGTAATAAATACTGCCTGATTTTAGAAAAAAGTAAGGAAACTGCAATTATACGCAAGTTATCTGTAAATATTCCGGATGCTTTCCAGGAAAACAAAGCTGGCTTCTTATGATGCATAATGGTCTTATATCCCTTCATATTTCTCAGAAATTAAACGGTTAGTTATTGTCCTCCTTTTTTATCCCATGCTGTTCTGAATATGCTGATGCAATATCTTGCAGAGAAAATAATCTTAAATCTGGGCTTCACACAGAATATTTAAATGTGTATGTTATGGAATGTGGAGTTTTCCCCTGCAGTCGCAGCTGTTTGATGTGATATTATTGCACAGACCTACCATACAAATACCAAACCGCTGCTTCTAACTTCTTTCAATCAATCAGGGATTTTCTTCTTATTCCCTAAAAAATATAATGTTTTAACTGTTGGTCATAAAACTGATGATTTGACTATTATCAGTCTTACGTAATCAGTAGTGAAAATCATAGTTGTAAGCAATGACTTGCAGCTGTTGTTGAGTTCAGAGAAATTCTTCTTGTTGTGTTTCTCATGTTCATTATTCTTTATTTTATTTCCCAGGAAACTACAAGAACCACAAGCTGACCCACAGTGGAGAGAAGCAGTACAAGTGCTCCATCTGCAACAAGGCCTTCCACCAGGTGTACAACCTGACCTTCCACATGCACACGCACAACGACAAGAAGCCCTTCACCTGCAACACCTGTGGGAAAGGCTTCTGCCGCAACTTCGACCTGAAGAAGCACATCAGGAAGCTTCACGACAGCGTGTTCACCCCCCCCCCAGAGGCCTCCAGAGAGCTGCAGAGCTGAGGCCCGCTGAAGCCCCCCACTCATTTCAATATCCACCTGTTAGGCCTCAGACTGCTTCATGTCCTGCATTTGTGGCCATGTTGAACATTTTAAGTCCAGAGAGAAGGTGGGGTAGTCCAATAAAATTGGATGTATGCCCCTTTAAAAGAACTTTGCTAATCTTGCAGGATTCAGGGTGTGTGTTTCCACGGCGACCCTGCAGGAACACAGAGCCGCGACTTGAACCTGGCTCCAGGAACATTCGAGTATTTTCTTCCTGTCACAAGCATGGGAGAAACCCTCCGTCTCCATGATGGAACTGTAAATAATAGGTTATGGAAATAAACAAATGTTATTTAAAATGTGAATAATTTCCATGTTGTGTATTTCACAGAAAAAATGTTAATGTGAATAAATAAGTTATAACTTATAATGAAAACTGAATGTTTGAGAGATGTTGTTTCTGGTTTTTTGAGAAGAGAAAAAAAAGAGCTTTTATTGGCTAGGTTCAGAAACATTTGAAGTGGCATTAAGGTGACTGCAAGACATGAACAAATTCAACACATTTTCAGTCAAATAACATAACATACAGCAACATTTCTCCAACCTCGAACTTTTGTGAAATCCTTTTTTAAATTTCGGACACATTTGATCTTGAAGCCTTTTCCTATTCTCATTTATTTTGTTGGGGTTGTACGTTTAAACCTCAGAATAAGGGCATGACAGATCAGATGGCACGTTCAAAATGACACTTTTGTTAAAATAAATGTTTTCCTTAACACATTTTTTACAGTACCAGTAACAGCATTACATTAAATTACATGAATTCAGCTGACGCTTCTAAGTGACGAACAATACATGTTGAAGCATGCAGGTGGCCTTTATTCAGAAATGTGCTGATCCTCAATGCTGCATTAGGGACATAAGAAATAGCTTTATTTGTTTTCCATTTTGATGGACGAAAGTGAGGATGAATTTACAGTCTTCGATGCAGAGGTGTAGCCAGACATTAAACAGTCGCCATTCATCTAAATATTATCTCTTATTAAAGCATACATCACATATCTGTGAAGGCATCCGTCTGATAAACTTGGTGGCTGTTTTAATTTGAAGTGTTGTTGCAAAGCCACATATAGACTCAGTCTGGCTCTATATGCTCTGCAGCCACTTTGCCTCACCATTTATTGACAGACACGATCTTAATAATGGAGCATTTACACTTGACTCTGGCGTAATGGCGCAAATGATCAGAGATAACATGGGCCCTTGAAAGCGAATTACATTAAACAGCTAAACGGCTGGGGAGACTTGATTGGGCAGGGGGGACGGGTACTGTCGCATCCGGAGCCGCTCATCAGAACAGGAGATAATGGAGCACTCAGGCCGCAGCCCCTCATCTGGGCCTCCGCGTTAATAGGCCACAAGTTATTCTCCTCACGGCTCCTGGAACAATATTATCCCTGCACACATTCTGCACTGAGGCGGCTCCGTGCTCCCACATGGCGCTCCTTCTATTAACAGCCAATTAGCGCCGGGTCGGGCCGGCCTGCTACATGGAGCCCGGCTCACAGGAGGCTGGAACCTGCTCCACCAGGCCGGCTGGGAGATGACATATGGCGGGGAGGCTGCAGGGAAAACAGAAGCAGCAAGTTATTCAAATAATAAATAAATGTAACTTAACAAAAGCTGAAAACATTTGTGAACTGCTGAGGTGGATGAGGTGCATTCGCTATTGCTGGATTTGTTAGCTTTTGGCAAAGTTGATAAAGTGGAAAAACCACTTTGGGTGTATCCTCCATCATCATTTAAAATTAAAATAAACTCTATTTTCCTATTTCTTAAACAGCAACTTTGAAATACATACTTTTTTTTACACCAATTCCCTCCCCCTAAACAATTATGTCTTTATCACTATATCATTATTTTATTATTGTGAAATTGTTAGAATAATTATAAGAACACAAAGAAATGTCCCTGTTCGGAATTCTGAAAACGAAATGCATAATGGAAACACAATCTAAAAATAATATTTAAAACAATGTAAAAGCTTTGAGGCTGTGTGCTCATTTTTATAACAACAACCTTTATGCTACTGATATGTCAGTGTTGTCAACGGGACGCGAATTGAACAATATGAACTACTTTACTGTGAATTGTATTCAAAGCAATGCGTGTCGTGAGAAATAGAAAACACACACACACACACACACACAGTCAGGCTGGGGGCTCAGCAGCAGTAAACAAGCTAAAGGCAGCAGGTTGTGCTTTTCCCTGCACTTTTTTCCTTTTTACCTCTCCAACATCTGAGCAACCGCCTCATATCCCCAAACACGTTAATTGAACGGGATCTTTAATTAAGACGCGCCCACGCGGAGGGAACGCGAGAGCGGGAGCGCGCGCTAATCGGCTGTCAACAACATGAGGAGGACATCTTTCTCTGTCTCCGCCACCGGGATCACCGGGGACTCAGGCAATTTACGGGCCACAAAGGAGCTGCTTTGAGACAGAAAGAGAAGAAAAGAGGAGGCGGGCTTTTTTGTCTGCAGATTGAATTGATTGTAAATGGGAGATTAGCGCGAAGCTCCAGCAGCCCGTAAGTGCCCGGTCGAGGAGGAGGGAGAGAAAGAGACCAATTAAGTCTACCAAATGTTAATTTACATCAGTTTCCCCTCAGTTTAGTCCACATGAAATTCCAATTAAAGCGTCCCCGCACTAGCAGCTTTTTTCCTTTACAAGAGAGAGGGGGGGGGGGGGGGGCAGACAACGTTCCCACAACATGTGATGATACCATACAGGCTCAATGCAAAAACACGTAAGTGGTTACTGCCCTATAATAAGGACATCGAAAGGGTGAGGATGTGAGCAGGCTAATGAAATTACTAAAACATGAGTCAGTGTGAATCTAAAAAAAAGACAAGATAACTAGACACAAAGCTCAACAGTATTATTAGCATGACAATTACAGTGCAAATCAAACGCACAATGCAATAACGTTAAGAAAAAAGTAAGGAAGAACTTTCTGTTGGCTCCTGAATCTGAATCCCTCAGCTGGACCAACAGAAGAGGGACATGTTGAGCACATGCAGTTCCATCCATCATTATGAGTAAGTCAGTCTTCAATTCGATTGAATGAACTACACAAATGATGTAAGTCTTTGGGTATAAGAATGTCAGAGGGTAAATGTTTATTTCAATTGTCTGCACTTTGTTAAGTTTGAATGCACTACTCCTGCATGTCAACACATTTCACATAACTGTATTAGGTTAGTTGAAAGCAATAATAATTAAGTTAAACCTATTTAAACATAATATGATTGCTTTCAACTAACCTAATACAGTTTTGTGGAATTTGTTGACATAATATATTTAATTAAAGTCAACGTTTCAGTGTTTTCAGTGTGATGTACTGAGCAGAACATCCCAGTGTCTCTTGCTACCGAGGTGGAATGCTTTGACATTTAAATAGTACGAATATTTTAGCGCAGAGATTTAAAGATTAAATATGAACAAATTAGTTTGTTGGAATTGTGTCCTCTTTCTTTTTTTAGCACACCTCGAATATAAAGAATTGATGAAATGATATGGAGTTTCAGACTTGTTTGCACTAGTTTCATTATGTTTACTTGCTTCTTGAGCAGATTGTGAGGTTAATATCAAGACCCCCCCCCCCCCCCTCCTTACAGCCCTCGTTAGGGGAGCCCTTTGGCACAAAGAGCCTCAGGATTCATTGTGGGGTGCCGAGGGTTAATGAGCAGGGCTTCTCTTCACTCATGGCTCTGCTCCTGCTTTAAAGAGAGCCAGCTGAAAGGGTGGAGGATGGAACGCCCATCGATAGAATTGGACATGTTAAGATGCCACGTTTAAAACACATTTATGTTACATATCTTATAGGCACATTTTACATTATTATGTCTTTGACCCTGATTTGTCTTAAAAACCAGACCATAAAGCCCTGACTGTGCTGGGATCAGATCTGAGGAATCCACAGTGAAGCATGGAAATGAGCCACAACACACACACTGAAGCGAAGCATTCACTCACACCTCATTTAGATTCTTTTACAGAGTCAACCCCAGCCTTTCTCCACCCAAACCTCATCAGGGTGTCTTGAAGTCTCTGGATGCCCCCGCCCTGGCATGTGAAGCGCACGGTGGGCAGGGCCTGTGGCTGTGAGGGGAAGTGAAGGCTGCTGGGAACTGAGCACTGAGGAAGCTCTCACCCTCTGACCTCCATCTATCTGTACTGTAGGTCATGGTGAGGAGCTGAGGGGGAACCTCCATCTCTCTCAGGTGGTGGAGGGCGGCGGGGCCGGACCCCAACTCACTTCGCTGTTTTAAATCAACCTAGAAAGGCTGACTATAAAGGCTCATACCCATTCCATCAGAAAGAGAACTGTAACCATGTATGCTGGGTTTGGTACCCACTACAATTTTGACTGTCAAATTGTTTCAATGATCAGCAAAAAGCCCAACATTCACTAGTTTGTAGTCTTAGGACGGTAGGAATTCTTATTCCATATGTAATCACTCCCATCTGGCTCAGAAACAGTATGCCAAATGGATTGGGCATAAGAGTTGTCTTTCATAAACACTAAACTGACGGCATCAGAACACCTTTGTTTTTATATTATAATTCCATCCCAACTCAATACTACTCTTTTCTGGAAACTGAAAGTCATTTATATTTAGAACCAGTAGTGTTTACTAAGAGTACATCATATTAAACATGAATATAGCGGGCTTAGTAATCATTCTCAGGATGATGTTCGATATATAGAGGCCCCATCAAATGTCTGTGCACAATAACACAGAGAAGTCCTTTCAGCATTAGCAAAAGCAAAACGAGTAATGCAACAACCATGAACTAAACTGAACAAAACCACTCATGTCAACAAAGGGAGTTCTTTTTCTTATTTCAAGATTTGTTGTAGATTGTGACCTTTTCAATTTTGCACCCAGCAATCAGGAGCGCATGTTTTCACTGTTAAACACTGACATTGCATTGCTCATTTTTTGCATGTAAGCAGGTGGACATCACATGCAGGAATCAA